TCGATAGCGTGTGCCGAACCGATACGGCCAACGCTCGCAAGTGTGCCAACGCTTGCCTATACGTCAAGTGCGGCAAAAACGCCATCTGTAGACCCAGTTATCACAAAACCCAATGTTTCTGCGCCGCCGGCTTCGACGGCGACGCCTATGATCTCATCCAAGGCTGTCAACCCGTGCGCCGCAATGTATGCGATACTGACATCGACTGTCACTCCAGTCAGACGTGTAAACAAACGCCGTCCGGAATATTGGATTGCGTGGACGCGTGCGAAGCCGTCACTTGTGGTCCCAACTCTAACTGCAAAGGCATCGGCCATAAGGCTCAGTGTCTTTGTCTGTCCGGTTATGTCGGAGACGCCGATAATGTACTGAACGGCTGCCGACAGAAGGAAACCAATGAATGCGAGTTTGACTTCGATTGTCGCGAACCCACAGACGTCTGCAAACCTATGAACGAAGGCCTCAAGAAGTGCTTTAACGCGTGTCAGTTCACGAGTTGCGGCACTGGATCTCATTGCGTGGCCTCCAATCACACGGCTTTCTGCGACTGTATCGGCGGTTTCGTCAGAGACCAGAACGCCGTTTGCAAACCCAAAACCAATGAATGCAATCAAGACTCTCACTGTCCGTCTTTTGAATCCTGCAAATCGTCACCCTTTGGATCACTGAAATGTGCCGAAGCGTGCATTGACTTCACGTGTACTCCGAACTCGCAATGCGTTTCACTGCAACACAAGGGTCAGTGCAAATGCGATCCCGGATTCACTGGCGATCCCCAGACCAGAGCCGGTTGTGTCCCGATTCCGATCCACGGCTGCGATGTGGACATCGACTGCGCCAACCCTAACGACATCTGTCAACCGGACGCCAGCGGTATTCGCAAGTGTGTCGACGGCTGCTCTCACTTCGAGTGCGGCAAAAGTGCCGTTTGTATTATGATTAACAGACAGCCCGAGTGTCGGTGCCCTCAAACCGGTCTCTACGTCGGCAACCCATACGACCAAAGCAAGGGTTGTCGTCGAGTCGAGTGTATGTCAGACCGCGATTGCGCCGACAATAAGGCCTGTAGTAATCAAAACTACTGTTTCGACCCCTGTATTAACGGGTGCGGCGCTAACGCCGTTTGCGTGGCTCAGGCACACAATCCCAACTGTCGGTGTCTCTCCGGATACGCCGGCGATCCCTACTCTACCGGATGTGTGGCCATACGTCTGTGTGAATCAAACCCATGCAATCCGTTGGCCCAATGTCTCGACTCTCACGGCTCTTATACCTGCAAATGTCCGCCCGATTATATCGGCGATCCCTATGACAAGAACGCGCGCGGCTGTCGACACCCCAACTCGTGTCCGAACGGCAACCAAGACTGTACGCCAAACGCTGTCTGTCTGCCCGACCCGTCGGGTGTATTCCTGTGTAAGAATGCGTGCGAACGACTCCAATGCGGTCCCAACGCCGTGTGTCTGACCCGTAACCACTCGGCGCAGTGCAGTTGTCCCGACAACTTCAAGGCCGAGTCCGGATCACTGGGTGGCTGTACCCGTATTTCGCGTCTTTGCGTAGCGAATCCCGATTGCGGTGACAGTCAGGCCTGTGTTGACGGTCAGTGTCGGTTCGTATGCACTTTGGACACGGAGTGCGCCTCTGGAGAGCGATGTGTCGACAACTTCTGCGTCAAAGCCTGTATAGTCCACGACTCGTGTCCACCAAACGAGGCGTGCGTTTCCAAAGGCTACTGTAATATTGGCTGTCGAGACAACTCCGAGTGCGCCTCAAACGAGGCCTGCATTCAAAACCGATGTCAAAACCCGTGCGAAATAAAGAGCATTTGCGGACCCAATGCTATCTGTTCTGTGATCAACCATAACCTCACCTGCAGTTGTGTTCCCGGCTTTGAAGGCTATCCCACGGCTATAATGGGTTGTCGACGAAAGATCATCGATTGCATCGACAACAACGGGTGTCCAGTCGGCCACTTCTGTCACGGGCTCTTCTGCAGAGCTCCCTGTCATTCATGCGTTGAGGGAGAGAAATGTATTAACAATGTCTGTGCGATGACCTGTTCCAGTAGTAGCAACTGTCCCACCGGTGAGGTCTGTAGTAATCACATTTGTATAGCCGGCTGTCGAGCGGACGGCGATTGCAGTATAAACCAGATCTGCGCTAACACTCAATGCATATGCGTTCCCGGGTTTGAGTTCAAGACAGGACACGGATGTGTTGACGTCAACGAGTGTCTGAGCAATCCGTGTCACGAAACAGCCATTTGCGAGAACATTGCCGGCAGTTATCGGTGTATGTGTGCGGAGGGAGAGATTGGCGACGGTTTCACGGGTTGCCAGAATCCGGGAGAGTGTCCGCGAGGGGACTCTGACTGTCCGAAGAACGCCGCCTGTCGTAGCGATTTCAACGGTATCTCCAAATGCGTCAATCCATGCGATATAAACCCTTGTGGACCGCATTCAATCTGCGCGGTGGCCAACCATCAGGTCCTTTGCAAGTGTCCCGAAATAGGCTTCTATACGGGAGACCCCTATAACCGACTCAACGGCTGCCAGAAAGTAGACTGTCTTCACGACGCCGACTGTCCCTACGATCGACAGTGCGTTAATTTCTTGTGCGAAAACGCATGCGATAGCGTCGACTGCGGACCGCACGGCACGTGTGTTATACGGGACAGACAGGCGGCCTGTCGTTGCGAACAGGGCTTTGAAAACAACGGACGACTTATATGTGTGGACGTAGACGAGTGTCGACTCCATCCCTGCCATAACACAGCCGTTTGTGACAACATTCCCGGCAGTTATAGCTGTAAGTGTCAGCAGAATCTGGTCGGCAACGCCTATACCCATCCCGGATGTCACGAACCGGACGTTTGCTATAACGGCGACTCCGATTGTCCCGATTCGGCCACTTGTATACTCGTGGCCGGAGTTCCCAAATGCCGCGACCGATGTAACGATCCAACCGTTTGCGGCCTAAACGCCACGTGTCTCAGTGTCCACCACAAGCCCCGGTGCTCTTGCGCTCAGAATTTCTTAGGCGACCCATACGTCCGGTGCGAAAAAGTCGAGTGCTCTACGAGTTTGGATTGTCATAAACAAAGCGATATCTGCTATGAAAACAAATGCATTAACGTTTGCCAGACGTCGACCGCGTGCGGCGATAACGCCGTTTGTGTGCCTCAGATCCACAGCTATACGTGTAAGTGTAGAGAAGGCTATTTCGGTGATCCCATCGCCGGCTGTCGTAAGCGATTGGCCTGCGATACGGACGACAACTGCCCGACCTCTCAGTTCTGTTACGTCGACCACTTTTGTCGCATTTCTTGCTCTTCTCATCGCGACTGCAATAACAACGAGCGCTGCGAGAATGGAAAGTGCGTTCAGGTCTGTCAGTCCAACACCGACTGCGCCGAAGACTATCAATGCATAAACTGGAAGTGTATTTCCAAAATTGAGAGCAAATGCCAATCGGACAGCGAATGCGACCCCCATTTGAGCTGTCGGGCCGACCAAAGAGGACACAACGACTGTATGGATGTCTGCGAGAACACACTCTGCGGTCGGAACGCCGTCTGCAAAGCGCACAATCACTCCCCGGTCTGCGAATGTTTGCCCGGTTTTGCCGGCAATCCTACCGATGATAAGTACGGCTGTAAACCCATTGAATGCATCGACAATCAGGACTGCAAGGATAGTCAGGTCTGTCAGAAGTACAAATGTATCGACCCGTGCCGTCAACAGCGCTTATGCGGCGATAACGCCATCTGTTCTGCCGAACAACACGCGGCCGTCTGTCGGTGTTTGGAGGGCTTCGAAGGCGACGCTTTGGCCGCCTGTATACCAATCAACTATTGCGCGAAACATAGCTGCCATCGATCGGCCATTTGTAAGAACAAAATCGGAGGCTTTGACTGCGTTTGTCCGGCCGAGAAGAATATCGGTTCCCCCTATGGAGAGCCCGGATGTCGCGGTCCTAACGATTGTCCCAATGGTAACTCTGATTGTCCGCCAAATGCGGTTTGCGAACCAGACTTTGCCGGCAATCTCTTGTGTCAAAACCCATGCGAAAGAGCCCAGACTTGCGGACCCAACGCCTTGTGTCGAATAGAGATCCATCAAAGTGTCTGCTCGTGTCCGGAAGGCTTCGCCGGCGATCCACACGATCACCGAAGAGGTTGCGTTCGCATACCGTCCGTCTGCGCCACTGATCGCGAGTGTCTGTCGGGAATGGTGTGCGACTCCGGCCGATGCCGACCGCCCTGTCATTCGGAGAAGGACTGCGCCCTTCGAGAACTTTGTTCAAACAATCGATGCCTTCTCGGCTGCTCTACTGATGAGGAGTGTCTCGGAGGAGAGATTTGCGCCCAAAAGAGGTGTCAAATCGGTTGCAGAACTGATAACGACTGTCACTTCAATGAGGCGTGTCTTCTCAATAGCTGCAAAAATCTTTGCGATACTCCGACCTCTTGCGGCACAAATGCCATCTGCGATATGATAAGCCATCAGCCGATCTGTAACTGTCCGACCGGTTTCACGGGAGACGCCAAACTCACCTGCAATCGAGTGATGCGAATGTGTCTCTCAAACAACGACTGTCCACACAATTACTTCTGCTCCGAAGGCCGCTGTAAACCCGAGTGCGGATCCGATAAGGATTGCGCTTTGGGTGAGAAGTGTTTCAACGGTTTCTGCGCCCTTCTGTGCCGACACGACACCGAATGCCAACACAACGAGATATGTAACCAAAACCGATGCCAATCTGGCTGTCGATCCAACAGTCAGTGCGACGATCACCTCATTTGTACCCGAAGTCAATGCATGGATCCGTGCGAAGGCAGCGCCGCCTGCGGTCCCAACGCATTATGCAATGTTGTCAATCACCGGATCAGCTGCAGCTGTCCCGCAAACTTCGTGGGCCGGCCCACAGCCAACGTGGGCTGTATGAGAGAGTCCATCGCTTGCGCCTCAAACATCGACTGTCATTATTCCGGCCATTTTTGCACAAACTTCAGGTGTAGACCCACTTGTAGTGCAAACAAGGACTGCGCTGTGGATGAGAAGTGCACGAACGGCAGGTGTCATATCCATTGCACCAAAGATCGTGACTGTCCTTCCAGTGAGATATGCCTTCAAAACACCTGTAATGTCGGCTGTCGTTCCGATACGGACTGCGCCTCCAGCGAGGCCTGCATTAACAACCTGTGTATCGACCCGTGCGCTACGCCCACCGCCTGCGGCACTAACGCCTTCTGCACTGTCGGCCATCACGAGAAGATCTGCACGTGTAAAGAGGGATCCATTGGCAACGCGTACGTCGAGTGCGTCCGAGTCATCACCACTTGTGGTGCGATCGCCGACTCGTGCGCTATCGGCAGTCGATGCGAAGAGTCTGTGTGTCGAACCCAATGCCGATCAGACACCGAATGCTTTGACAATGAGAAATGTCTCGACAATCTCTGCAGTATTATCTGTTCTTCCGATGAAGTCTGTCCTCAAGGCTTTGTCTGCGATGGCGGCAAATGTATGACTGGCTGTCGCTCTGATGTCGAGTGTCCTACACAAGAGTCTTGTATAAACCGCAAGTGTCTCAATGTGTGCGCCAGTCCTACGGCCTGCGGCAGTGACGCCATTTGTAATGGTATTAATCATCAGCCCTACTGTTCGTGTCCCACAAGATATACGGGTAATGCGAAGATCGCCTGCAGAAGAATGGATTGTGTCGTTGATGTCGACTGCGGTTCCGCAAAGATATGTCAGAATTACAAATGCATTACTGGCTGTCGATCCGATGGCGGATGCGCTGACACTCAGAGCTGTATTAGCCTTCAGTGCACTAATCCGTGTCTATATAGCGGTGTTTGCGGAGAGAATGCCATTTGTCGGCCCAAAGGTCACCAACCGATCTGTTCCTGTGCTCAACCATTCGAAGGCAATCCTATTATTCGGTGCACTCTTCCCGCACAAGAGGCCATCTCTTGTAAGTCAGACAACGACTGCTCGATCGACAAGTTCTGTATTCATCGCCAGTGTATCACACGATTCGAGTGCAGCGCCGATAAGGACTGCTCTGTTGGACACATTTGCGTCAAAGGCAAGTGTTTCAGCGGTTGTCGTCGTGACGATGACTGCGCCCTCGATATGAGCTGTGTTTCACAGCAATGCCAGAGTCCGTGCAGTTTCCGAGGCGCGTGTGGTGTGAACGCCGACTGCATTCCCTTCAATCACCGATCGAAGTGCACGTGTCCTCCCAATTACACCGGAAACCCAGAGACCCAATGCCTGGAACTGCCCACTTGTCGCAAGAACGACGACTGTCCCACCGGTTATGTCTGCCAAACGGGCAAATGTGCGGTCATATCGGGCTGTGTGTCGGACAACGAGTGCCGTCCGTCAGAGATCTGCGAAAATAGTCGATGCGTTGACGGCTGCAGAAGCAATAGTGACTGCGATTTCACCAAATCTTGTATTAATAGATTGTGTCAAAACCCGTGTAATGTGAAGATATGCGGCACAAACTCCCAATGCTTTGCCATCAATCACGACGGCATCTGTCGCTGTCCTGAGAGCTATACCGGAGACCCAACCATATCATGTCAAGTGGAACAGGAAGAGTGTTATGTCGACCCTGACTGTGGCTCTGAGAAGATCTGTGTCAGCAATCGTTGTCTCGTCGGCTGTCGCGCTGATAGTAACTGTCCTTTCGATAAGTCGTGTCACAACAGGCGCTGCAGTGATCCCTGTTCTCAACAAACCTCGTGTGGCTTCAACTCGCTGTGCAAAGGCATCAATCATAGAGCCGAGTGCTCGTGTCCGCCCAACTTCCAGGGAGATCCAAAAGTGCACTGCATTGAGAAACAGAGCGTTGAGTACGAGTGCGAAGAGAACAGCCATTGCGGACCCGGAAAGGTATGCGAACACCACTACTGTGTCTCCATTCAGAAGCAATGCTATAGCGATACGGCTTGTAATCCGGGAGAGATCTGCGACAACGGGAACTGTATTATCGGTTGCCGTCGAGACTCGGACTGTACTTTCGATAGAGCGTGTTATAACAGCAAATGCGTCAACCCGTGCTCAGTACAGACCCCATGCGGTCAGAACGCTATCTGCCAGCCGGTCCTCCACCGACCGCAATGCCGCTGTCCCTTCACTTTTGAAGGCAATCCCTATGACTATTGCAAAGCTGTCACTAAAATACCCACTCAAGAGTGCGCCGGCGATAAAGACTGCCATTTGGGATATCTATGCGAACAGAAGGTCTGCATAATTGGCTGCAAATTTGACGAAAACTGTCCCAACGATAGGACGTGTCTTAACAAACAATGTCTCAATTCATGCGATTATCCCGATTCATGCGGTGTGAACGGCATTTGCACGACAGTCGGCCACCGGCCGCGATGTTCGTGTCCGCCGGGCTTCACGGGTGACGCCAGCATTCAATGCACACCAGTTATAATACCGGTGTGTCTTCAAGACGGCGATTGCGGAACCGGACAGATATGCGAAAACGGCAAATGCATTGACGCGTGTCGTACGGACGACACGTGCTCGTACACCATGGCCTGCATTAACCAACGCTGTCAGGACCCGTGCAGTGTGTTCGGCGCCTGCGGTCGCAACGCCTTGTGTCAGTCGGACAGTCACAGAGCGGTCTGCAGTTGTCCGCCAGAGTTCAGTGGAGACGCTTTCGTCATCTGCGAGCGCGAAGACTCCCATCAATTGCGCGGCTGTGGCTCTGATCTCGAGTGCAGCTTCGGCTACATCTGTGAGTCCGGCAATTGTATTGAGGGCTGTCGTCACGACGATCACTGCACTCCCGACGAGACCTGTTATAACAGGCTTTGTCGCAATCCTTGCGAATACGCCAACGCTTGCGGTATAAACGCCGACTGCTCTCCCAATGCTCACCGACCGGTGTGTTCGTGTCACTCGGGATTCATTGGCGATCCGCACGTCGAGTGCCGACCCCTTCAAGACGTCAGGGAATGTGTTTTGGACATCGATTGCGGCAATCGATTGGTTTGCGAGAACTCTCGCTGTATTATCGGTTGTCGAGACAGTCAGGGCTGCGGTCTCGAGGAGTCGTGTATTAACGGTATTTGTCAGAACCCGTGCAGTCTGTATGGCGGCTGTGGCCGTAACGCCGTATGCAAGCCATTCAACCACACGTCCATCTGCTCGTGTCCGTCAGGACTCAAAGGCAATCCAAACGTCGTGTGCACTGAAGCCCCGCCGCAGTGTCTGAAGGATAGCGAATGTGTTTTGGGACAGATCTGTGAAAACACTCAATGTATTTCTGGCTGTCGTCTCGACAACAACTGTCACGAAGACCGCGCCTGTATTCACGGCATTTGTCAAAACCCATGCCTATTGCCCGACAGTTGTGGTGTGAACGCCAACTGTCAACCATTCAATCACAGACCCCGTTGTGAATGCATTAATAACTATAGAGGAAATCCATTCGTTAAATGCGAGCCAAGTATGAGATTTATCCATTTCTTTGATTGAATTTATTGCTAACTTATAAATGATTTTCAGTTCCGGACGACTACTGCGAACAGGACTCGGCCTGTGCTTTGGGAAAGATCTGTGAAGTGAATCGATGCATAGGTATGTTTAGGCAATAATGGGATCTGACTTTCAATACTAATTGTATGTTTTCGCGGATCAGACGGCTGTAGGAATGACGCCAATTGTCGATTCGAGGAGTCCTGCATAGCCAAGAAGTGTCAAAACCCGTGCAATTTGTTTGGCGCCTGTGGTGTGAACGCTGTCTGCAAACCCTTAAATCACGACAGAGTCTGCACTTGTATTCCCGACTTTACTGGAGACCCGAAAGCGCTTTGCGAGCGGATATTACCGCCACCCGAGTGTACGTCTGACCCCCAGTGCCCTCTCGAACACATTTGCCAGAATCAGAGATGCAGTTGTAAGTGGTTTTGACCCCAAAACGGCAATTAAGAGCAAACATGTAATTATAAAATCATATTTATTACCAATATAGACGGCTGCAGAACATCAGGTCATTGTCCCACCGATAAGGCCTGTATTAAGAGTAAGTGTACCAACCCTTGTGGTCATAGCGGCGCGTGTGGTAAGGAAGCCATCTGTCAGTCGGCCAATCACGTGGCCATTTGCAGCTGTCCCAGTGGTTATAGAGGCGATCCCGATGTCGAGTGCAAAGGTTTGTTAATACAAATATAAATATTCATTTATTTATATAAATATAACATTTGAATCCATTTGTATAGAAATTCCTCCGGAATGTAGAGGTGATGACGATTGTGGTCTCGAAAGGATTTGTTTGAAACAGAAATGCATTGGTATTGATATTGATTGCGATATATTGTATGAATTGAATATAATTAATGGTAATGTTATGTATGCTATAGTCGGCTGTCGAATGCACAACAACTGTCCCTTCGATAAGGCGTGTGTGAATGGCTTCTGTCAGAGCCCGTGCAGTATAGGAGGCATGTGTGGCGTCAATACCATATGTAGAGCCGAGAAACATGAGGCCCAGTGCTCTTGTTTGCCCGGATATACAGGCGATCCTCTCAGACAGTGTACCAAAGTGTCGGTCGAGTGCGAAGTGGATAAAGACTGCGGAAATGGTTACGTTTGCGCCAATCAAGAGTGCAAAGACATCAACGAGTGTTTGAAAGAGCGCGTGCCCTGCGGTCCCGGCGCCAGCTGTACCAATTTGCCAGGATGGTTCAAGTGCTCCTGTCCCATGTCACTGGTCGGTGACGCTTACGGCCCGGTCGGCTGTAGAGCTCCCCTTCCCGTCTGTTTCCAGGACTCCGATTGTAAGGACGAACAGAAATGCAATCCCGTTACTCAAGAGTGCTATGGTTTGTATTCATTGATATTAATTTACAAATGAATTCTTATGGTTATTATATAATCAATTTTTCATAATTACTATCCGACAGATATCTGTTCCCGACCGGGAGTTTGTGGTAAGGGAGCCATTTGTAAAGCAGTCAATTCCAAGTCCGAGTGTCTGTGTCCAGCGGGACATCGCGGCAATCCATATGTCGAGTGCTCTATCCGTAAGATTATTGACACTTTGATTAACATTGTTATAATTATTAACACAATGTTTGCCATTATTAGGTGATTCGTGTAATAACAACGGCGATTGTCCCGGTAATCTCAACTGTTTGGGTGACTTCTGCAGTTGTCCCAAACCATTCCAACAATTATCCTCTTTCTGCATACGTAAGCAATTGTTATAACTATTTTGCGATCATAAATGTTAACTCATGTCTACTATAATGTTCAGTAACGAGTGTCAACTGTTCGACAAGCAATCCCTGCCCTCAAAACCAGGAGTGTGTCCACAGTCTTAGCAATGATTTGACCGGTTTCTGTATCTGTCCGCGAGGTTTCGTCCTCACATCCGACGGCTTCTGTCGAGATATCAATGAATGCGATCAACAGACCTTCCCGTGCGGTCCCGGAGCCATCTGTACCAACACTATCGGCAATTTCAAGTGTTCGTGTCCTCCGCACAGTTCGGGCGATCCTAACGGAGACGGATGTTTCGGTACATATAGATTACATTCTTTATAATTCAGTCAATTATAATATTTTGCGACTCTTTTAGCCGAAGCTCCGAAACAGGAATGTCTTCACGACTCTGATTGTCACGAAGACAAGGCTTGCATTGAATTCAAGTGTTTGAGTCCCTGTTTTGAAGACCACGAATGCGGACAAAATGCCATTTGCGGTGTTGTTAACCATCGGAAGGAATGCAAATGCAAACCATTGTATTTTGGAAACCCGTATGAAATCTGTCGCAAACCAGTCGAGTGTGTCTCAGATGGCAATTGTCCCGGAAATCTCATCTGTTTGCCGGACAACAAGTGCGGCTGTCCTCCAGAGTTTGAAAGACAATTAGATTATTGTTCAAGTAATTTTCAAGCATTTTTTTTCTTATATTTTGCGATCTTTTTTATTAATAAATGAATTACAAATTCAGAGCGAAGCCAGAAGTGCACGACAACCAACCCGTGTCTCTCAAACCAAGAGTGTATATTCAGCGGAACTGGCGGTGGATTCTGTGTCTGTCCGCGAGGTTTCCGACTCTCGTTAGACGGTCTCTGCGAAGACATCAACGAGTGCTTAGAAGAGCCGCAGATTATATGCTCGAGAAATGCCAGCTGTCATAACCTCTTGGGTTCTTATGAATGCAAATGTTTGAACCAATACGAAGGCGACCCCTATAGAGAGGGCTGTCGTATTATTCCGCCCCCATATAGAGGTTGTAGAGCCGACTCTGACTGCGCCCTCACCAAGAAATGTGACTTCGGTTCCGGAGAGTGCTATGGTTTGTACAAATCATTTATTGCCAGAAAAGTACTCATTGTTTTAACTTAAAAACTTTTAATTGAATGCATACACAGATCCGTGCTCTGCAACCACTGTCGTGACGGGTGTGAAGGGATATTCAGTGGCCGAATACAAGTGCGGCCAAAATGCCATTTGCAGGACAGAGAACCATCAGTCCGACTGTTACTGTCCGCCCGGACACGAAGGAAATCCATTCAAACTGTGTTTCAAGAAAATCGTTTGCGGTATTGACTATCACTGTCCCGGAAATCTGATTTGTTTGGACAGCAATACGTGCGGTTGTCCGCCAAACTTTTTCCGCGAAAACGACTACTGTTTCATAAAGTCCGAGAACTGCACGACAACTAATCCGTGTCCGCTCAACGAGGAGTGCGTCTACACCGGAACCCGAAGCGGCTTTTGTGTCTGTCCTCACGGCTACGAATTACATCCGAGCGGTGAATGTATCGATTTGAATGAATGTCTTCACGTCCAGTGCGGCTCCGGTGCCATCTGTAACAATAAGCCGGGCGGCTATGAGTGCAGCTGTCCCGTCGACTCCATCGGCGATCCATACGTCAAGGGGTGCACTAGTATTGAAGGCTGTCGTGCCGTCGATGACTGCGCTAATGATAGAGAGTGTGACTTAGGAAGCAAACAGTGTATAAGTAAGTTATTGACGATTGATTGGTCTAACAATTGGTTTATTAATTACTAATTGTGTTTATATCTTACGTAAACTTAAGGTCCGTGTTATATATGTGGACCGCATTCCGAGTGCACAGCCCGTGACCACAAAGCCATCTGCACGTGTCCTAAAGGCCGTATCGGCGATGCTTACGATAAGAGTGTCGGCTGTTATGTAGAGCCAGAAATCCCGGTCGAGTCACGAACAATACCCCCGCCGTCAGAGATATTGGGTAAATATATTAACACAAAGATTGTCTAAAATGCATATAATTGTTGTCTAATGCAAACCATTATGCTTTCCAATAGTGATGTGTTTGGCAGATGGCGTACAGGTGTCGGTCCAATTGGACAGATTTGACGGCATTCTGTACGTGAAGGGTCACAGTCAAGACCCTCAATGCCGACGAGTGGTGACCAGCAATGAAGGCGATTCCGTTGATTTCAAAGTGCTGTTCGGTCACTGCGGGCTCATCCATGTGGACGGCGAGGCGTCGTTTGTGCTAATCATCCAAAAACATCCCAAATTAGTCACATTCAGAGCGCGAGCCTATCATATAAAGTGTGTCTACAATACCGAAGAGAGGACTATAACGCTGGGCTTCAACGTCAGTATGATTACAACGTCGGGCACAATCGCCAACACCGGTCCGCCGCCCACTTGTATTCTCTCCATCTGTACTCTGGAGGGCAAAGAGATCAATAGCGCAGAGATCGGCGACGACCTGTTGCTCAAAGTGGACGTCCAGCCGGACTTCATTTACGGCGGTTTCGCCAGAAGTTGTGTCGCGAAGACTATGGAAGACGACGGAGAGTTCCACTACGAGGTGACGGACGCCAACGGCTGCGCCACCGATCCCAGCATTTTCGGCAATTGGGAGTACGACCCGCACGGGAAGTCACTCACAGCCCGTTTCAACGCTTTCAAATTCCCGTCGAGTAATAATTTACGATTTCAGTGCAATATACGGGTCTGTTTCGGCTCCTGTCCGCCCGTCAACTGTGACGGCGTCGACGCTTACGGCCGCCGCAAACGCCGTCAGATCAGTGATGAAGATCTAGTTCTTAGCGACGCTTTCAAAGAGGGCGCTCTTCGGGAGGAGATTATGGTTCAGTCAAACGCCATCCTGACCTTTGAGAAGCGAGACCCGCAGCCATCACTTCCCGTACAGAGCGGTCCCAAGATTGAAGACATAGAGCACGTCTGTCTTCCCAAACTAGGGCTCATAATATCCATGATATTGACCACACTATTGGCTTTGGTAGCCGTGGCTGTGGCCATATCCTGTTGGCTGATGGCCTACCGACGCAAACCCAAACGCGCCGGACCTCTGCCACATCCGCCCGACTTTCCTAACCCATTGTATACAACACCAGAACCAATAGCCGAACCCTCACCCGACTATTACCCGACATCACATAATATGTGACTCAATTAGGGTCTCATATGACGGACTTTTCAGTCCGAATGTGATAAAAGTCTTAATCAAAGCCTAATTTATGAAAAAAGTGTTCACTTAATTAATTTATCGCATCATTTCATTGTCTCATCCGTAATGTCATACCCATTGTCTCCGCCGTCCATCTCATTGTCCAACCATCCGATCCCTCCCTCTAATTATATAAACAACATTCCGGTTCTGGTTATTAAGAAACAAACAAAATAAATGCAATTAACTCTCCATTTAATGGTGTAATTCAGGTCTATATTAGAAGAAAAACAAATTTATACTCAGATTTTGACCACTTTTCTGGTAAACACCAAAACTTGTTTGTGTGGCAGAAGTGCCAAAGATTTCAATCCACACATCTATCCAAAGCTCATACATTCATAAGAAAACAATAATCAAGCAAAATATTCTTGATGTCTGTGTTTTTACATGTTATACCAGAAAACTGGTCAACTTCGGGGACCCAACACAACACTGTCTATATCTTACACTTCCCCGTGATTTACACTTTTAGTCTGTTTTTATTACTATTAAAACCCAAGAAAATAATGTAATTTTTATAGAAAGAAGAAAACAAAGTAATGTATTTAATTGTAACACAAATTACCGGTTCAAGTGATTTAAAACTACATGTGATTTGTTTGTTTGCTATTCATATCATGGAAACTATGTTTTTTATGTCAAAATATGATATTTTTATACAATTTTTAAGTTAAAACACATATTAAGTTTCGTACGGCAGCTAAATATGATGTCGAATAGCAAACAATCGATTGGATCTGGTTTTAAGAGCTTAACACTACTTAATAAAAGAGCTCTTATTATATTGTATTTGAATTGATAGTGAAATTCAAAGGCAGCTAATGATATGAATTTGTATTTTTATGCTTTAATTTTATTTTTAAATAAATTATCTTTTCTATTAAAATTGTTTTACAATTTAATTATTCGTTTAATTATAAAAGAAGAAAGATTTAAAAAATTGAAGCGTTAGAAAACGTGGTAATCGTCTATATATTAATACTTACGTCATTCTCGAGTTAATTCTCACTCATCACTACTTTTGGCATTAATTGATTTGGATTTAAGCCAATAACAGACAATACATTTAATTATATGGTAATTAATTATTAAGAATTACTCATTGTGTTATAAATACAGATAATTATAATGTTTATTGATTTTATGCACAATTCATGCAAATTAATTTTAAAAAACACATATTGTCTGAAACTTACTGTATATTCAATAAATTGGAAAAAAAATTTCAAGATTTATAGAAAAGTTTTATAAATCAGTTTGTATTGAATCATACGAGAAATTATTTCCATTATAATGGATTTTATTTTAAAAAAAGTAATCATTTATTTCATGATTACTGTTTGATTATACGGAATATATTCAGTATTTGTGTTTTATTGGTTAATGTGACCAATTAATTGAATTACAGTTGACTTAAGTATCCAATTGGATAATACTTTCAACTTGTTTGCACCACAAGTGCAGTCAAAACGGTATGTATTGTTCAAATAGTAGTTTCGCGTACAGAATCACCGATAGATTACATGCGATAACATTTGATTCGGGCGTTCAAAAGAGATATTCAAATCGACTACATTTATAGCACTAGAATCATACAATTCGTGTGCACAATGTGACTGTGTATCGGGTCTTAAAGTTATCATCATTGGATCGGTTATCATATAATGCGTGTGTTTTACAAGTTTAATGGCCTAATGGGTAGTATTGTATTGAAGGCATCCCTCAATGGTATGACTTGTGGTCACATCCCTATCAAGTGATGGCAAACACATGTCATTAAACACACAATTGTATGGCAGGTGTGTCCGCATGTGTTGCCAATCATTAACACTAATGTAACAAAACTATGAATTAAATGTTAAACAATCCCAAAGTTTTGCACTAAAGTTACGTAACGTTGTCTACGAATGGCGTGAATGGTATGACTGGATGTGTGAGTGAATGACTGTTTGAATGTTTGAGTCAATGAATTGTATGACGTATTGAGTGATACCTGACATGAGATTTGTTGCCAAACATAGGCTTTGAATGCCATAAATGATGAATGGTATGACTGGATGTGTGAGTGAATGACTGTTTGAATGTTTGAGTCAATGAATTGTATGACGTATTGAGTGATACCTGACATGAGATTTGTTGCCAAACATAGGCTTTGAATGCCATAAATGAGTCCACAAAACAAATGCTTGAAAATGTATCCATAATTGATGTGATTATCGATACGATTAGCGATACAATCGATATGTGTTTATGCGATACAAACACAACACTCGGACTCGTATTGACTCAAACACTCAAACGTATTGATGTATTCAATCATTGAATGCATTCAATGAGTGTTTAATTGTAATTACAATACAATCACTCATTCATTACTCTTCACACAAACCACTGATTAGTATTGAAATCTTGTTATCATTTTCCACACAAACTGTTTGTTTTGTTCATCAAAATTATGTTTGTTTTCATTACTCACTCACTGTTGGGATGTGTTTGTCGTGAAGAGTCTTCACTCCGAATATAACGCTATGTTTTAGTTTTAATTTAGTTTTAATTTATATCACAAACACATCAATGAAATCGTCCGACAAATGCATGGTTTGAATGTCTACTCAATTACTGTCTTCTGAATGGCATTCATAACAATCCAAAGAAATCAATCGTTTGTTGAATCCATTCACCAAAACATGAAGATTAAGGTATTTTCAATGTCTCACATTTATTGAGCCATAAATCATATGATAATCTCTTTTGTGATTATGTCTTAAAGTGTGATTCAAATCAACAAATTAAGTACTCATTAGTCGTCGACTCCAATCCACAGACTATGGATTCGCACAAAAGGTATGTTTAGTATTATAACAAATGGGATCAGTTGTGGTGATGATCTGACTCTATCTAATTGTGTCTAAAACAGTGGTAACGAGTGTTACTTCGCTGTGAGAGGAGCGGCCATTATATTACCGCATGAGGAGTGTATTCATGTGTATAAGAGTCTGTCGAAGAACTCGTCGACAGTCGACATCCAGAAGCACTTGCAGTCGATGTTTGTTTTGCTCAGACCTGAAGACACACTCAAAATGGTATACAAACATTGATAGAGTTTTTAGCATGTATTTGGACACCAAATGTATTCAATTGTATTGTGTCTCTCAGGCCGTGAAACTGGAGAGCGTTCATCCAAACCGAACTCGTTATCTAATTATTGTTAGCTCTGTGTTTGAAACTCGTGAGGAGAGCTGTCTGTTGGGCATCGACTATAATATCGAGGCCTCCATTGGATTAGTACTTCCCGTTTGGGCCGACACTCGCATTACACTCGATGGCGACGGGTATGTCTTCGGTTGGGTTTTGATGAATGTGTGAATTAAATGGTTGTTTTATTTGAACAGTGGTTTCAGTATAACATCGTATGAAAGACATCACATTTTTAAACCCGTGTCCGTACAGGCGATGTGGTATTTATTATATAAATATAATCCATATGTGATTATAAGCTAATTTGCTTTTACAATAAGGTCCGCACTTCAGACACTCCATAGAGTGGGTGCGAAAGCGCGAGAAAATAATTATTTTTCTGGCGGAACCTCTCATTCCTGGACTAACTATTACGAGAAGAAGATCTCATTTGATCGCTCGGCTTATAACGAATGGCACGCTCTCGACGACGACCTTAATAAGAGGCCCCCCTCTCCAGACCTCCGAACAAAGTATGTGTTGTATTGAATGCTTGGTTTGATTGCATACTAAGGGGTGTATGTGTTATTGTGGTGTTAGGCCTCCCGAACAGGTGGCGACCGAACAATTAATTCGCGCTAAACTTAAGGAAGTAATGCTGGCCGAGAATCTCGATGAAGTCACCTCCAAATACGTTAGTCTCTCTCTCTCTCTCTCTCTCTCTCTCTCTATCTATCTATCTATCTATCTATCTATCTATCTATTGGTCACTAAAATGGTTTTTTTGTTTGTCTTTAGATACGAACCAAAATTGAGAAAGAGTTGCAAAAGGACTTGAGTTCATACAAGTCGTTCATCGATGAAGAGATGCTCAAAATATTGGGCCAAATGGATGAGTCGTCACAGATATTTGATTACTTGTATTTGGGCTCCGAATGGAATGCATCTAACTTTGAAGAACTCAAGGGAAAGGGGTATTGATATTGATAGACGGGTTGCGTCCATAGAAATGGCAGTAAACAAGCATTTATTTTTGTGTTCTAAAGTGTGGGCAAAATCCTGAACGTGACGCGAGAGATCGACAACTTCTTCCCGGGAATGTTTGACTACTACAACATCCGGGTCTATGACGACGACTCCACTGAAATGCTTAAATATTGGGACAAAACGTTTAGATATATTCGTAAAGCGAAGTAAGACTTGATTTTTAATTTACATTTTGGTCGACATTTTTACTAATAATACTATCAATCGATAAACAGAGACGAAGGCTCTAAAGTGTTGGTTCACTGCAAGAAAGGTATCTCTCGGTCGGCATCAGTGGTGTTGGCGTTTGTGATGAAGGAGACGGGATGGAAGTTAGACGAGGCCTTCGAGTTCGTGAAGAACAAACGCAATTGCATTCGTCCCAACTCTGGATTCCTGAGGCAATTGGAGATCTATCAGGGAATACTCGACGCCAGGTTTGTGCCCACACACTGTCCCTCATGTCCAACACTGGTCTTAATGTTGTTATGTTTATAGCAAACAAAGACATAACAGTCTCTGGCGGTCCAAATCAGAAACCAATTTAGTGTCCAAAGAGTGTCTTAAAAGGAAGAGCAACGAAGAGTTGGCGAACACTAAGAATAGGATTAATAAACAAATGAATGATTGCAATAAAGAAAACTCCAATTCGGCAAATGTTCTCCAAATTCCTGGTTCTGTAGAGCGGCCCAAGTCTTGGTCTCCCGAAGACTCAATATTTGGCGAACTCTTCGCTATTAGTAAAAACTCAAACGTTAGAGAAATGAAGACAAAGCGCTCGAATGCGAGACATCGGTTCGGAACCGATCCCTCGTGTTATAACATAATGGAAGCCAAGAAAAACATTGAATTAAAGTTGTCTGAAGAATGTCTTATAGAGACGAATAAAGTGCACAATAAGTGTTCAATAGTGAAGGATAGGATCACTGGCTTCGAAACCTTCCCTCAGTCACAGTCCTGTGCAGTGATCGACACCAAAGGGAACAGTAGTTCCGGTTTAGTCTACAGTTTGACCAATCAGTTTGAGTCGACGTATTATAAGAATACTAAACACAAAGAAGTGATGACCGACTTATCCAATATAGAGACTAACCAAAAGTCTGGCCTTCAGTCCAAACCTCCGATTCCTAAACTCTTTGGCGAGAAATCCAATTCAAGACTCGATTCGCAGGAAAGCTGTGATAAACTATCAAAACATAAATCAAGAGAACATATATTTGATATGAATAAGTATTATATGAGAGATCTGTCGACTGAATTGAGTCCAATTGATAGCCGGACTCTCAACGCGTGGCAGACGAAGAGAAAACAGGACACCATTTCATCAAACCTGAAGCGAACCAATTCTTATGACAGTATTATCAAAGAGTTATCACTTTCGCTGTTTGACAGCCAATGCCAGCAAAGGTCACAACACGACTCCAAAGGACACAAACGAAGTGTTTCTCTATTCTCCCAGAATAACAAGTGGTCAGCACTGCCTCAACCGCTCACCAGTCGGTCGCCTTTTGAGTTGTCCGATCGGTTGCCGACGACTGGCCACCGATGGCTGTTCGCCAACAATGTGAGGAGTGAGCCGATGGCCAGAGGCATACCTCACAGCAAAAGTATGCCTTCGGTTATAGAAGCGGTGAATGAAGTGCTTTGCAGTACAAGTGTTGTAATGAATAGTTTGATAGAAAGTATTCCCAACACAACGAAAGTCAAACCAAACATTGAATCTTCAAATGCGATGAGAATTCCGTCCGTCGAGAGCCGAATGCAAACCAATTTAAGCCAATCGTTAAACGAATCGATATTTTCAAAGAACAGGTTTGCGTCTGAATACGAGTCGAAAGGCTTTTCGTTTGTCAAAAGTAGCGCTCATATGAGCCGATCGTCCAAAACGAAAGTCGGAGTCTTGACGGAGAAGTTCGAGGCGAGAGTGAAGGGCAGCGCCCACTGCGCCGACGGCTGCGAGAGTGAGTGCTCTCACCTCTCGCTCAGTACGCCGTCGTCGCCGAGTATGAGTCGCAACGATAGGCCGCGCGCCTCCACTCTCGACGAGTCCACAGCCGAACCAAAAGTAGTCAAACCATTGCGTAAAACGAGTTTCGAGTTTCCCTTCAAACGAATCAAATCTCAGTCTTTCGAAACGCAAACCAATCATTTCTTTTCATCGCAAATGAGTTCGTGTTTTACAAACAAATTCGCAAAAACATCCAAAACGAGGACCGATTCAGAGCTGACACACAAAACACACACACAATCGCATGCAATACATATGGAGTGCAGCGGCACTACAGAAGTGGTCCGCAAGACTGCACCGAAGTTACAACAGGGAAAGAGTCATCCATTAACGCGACTAATGCCTAAAAACGCCTCCAATGCCAACAATTCGGGCCCTCTTTTGAATACTATGTAATCAATTGATTGAATATCTCACTCAACACTAGTCAATAAAATCGGCAATTTTTAACCCACTTTTTCGATATTTGTTAAGTTATAAATGATATTATAATAAATTTATAGCTTATTAATTGCATACTTTGTCTAATCATTTAAATATTATTATTATTTTGTTTGATTTCTATTCAATTATCATTTTGTTAACAGAATATTCTCTACAAGTTTCAAGAATTGATGCTCTTATTGGTAAAACTGCGCCAAATTTGAGTGACAAGTATTACAAACTTGTGTAATAATATCCTGATGGTAATGTTAATTAATGCCAATTAATGAATACCCTGATGGTAATGTTGACCACGATTGACGTGGTTTTGCTACCTTACCTGTGCGCACAGGTATGATGTGTTACAAGTGGTGTATATGTCATGAATTGCTAATAATAGCGGTGTTTGTTATCCAATGATATGATGGGAGGCGTCAACCAAAACATCACAACATTTTCAATCTTAAAGAAACGTTGATTTGTGTAAAAGTTTTCTCAAAATTTAATCATTAAATTGATTGCCAAATAAAAAACATATTTATTATTATTTGTGTTTCAAAACAAAAGTCTTTCATTGAATTGAATACCTGTTAAGAGATGTCCACAGAAATGACAGCCAATAACGGAGAGCAGGAAAAGGTAAGCCATTGCAAAGCCGATGCATTGTATCGATTTGATCACTAATTGATCCAATGGTTGCCATGTGTTGACGGACCGACAGCTCCTCTTAGAGCCGTACAACTATTTGCTACAATGCGGTGGTAAACAGATCCGCACAAAACTCATTCACGTATGCATTCATTCAATTGATGCCATCATTGGATTCCTATCCCAATAACTCATTTCACTTCTTCGTTCGTACCATTCATTGAAGGCATTCAACCATTGGTTTCAAATACCGGACCAAAAGTTGACGAAAATCAGTGAAATCGTTGAGATGTTACACAACGCCAGTCTTCTGATCGATGACATCGAAGACAACTCTATTCTTCGACGAGGAATACCAGTCGCGCATAACATCTATGGCATCGCTTCCACTATTAATTCCGCTAATTATGTCTACTTTTTGAGTCTCGAGAAGACCATTAAAGAGTTGCCCAAAGAATTGGTTTCCGACGCCGTTCTCATATTTACGGAACAGCTCTTAGAGCTCCACAGAGGACAAGGTTTGCCACTGAAGAAGTGACCAATGATTATGTTATATGTGTTTGAATGCTTAGTAAGTGTGTTGTATCCGAAGGAATGGATATCTATTGGAGGGATTCATTCACGTGTCCGACAGAAGAGCAGTACTTAGATATGATTAAACGAAAAACGGGTGGACTTTTCGGACTGGGAGTCAAACTCATGCAACTTTTCAGCGCCGATAAGCGGGACTACAGTCAAGTCATCAGCTTTTTGGGCACATATTTTCAAATCAGAGACGATTACGCGAATCTAAAGTCACTTGAGGTCTGAAAACAATTATATATTACATCCAAACCTATGATTAATGTTATAATTAATGATTAAATGAATGGTTAGTACGAAGAGAACAAAAGTTACTGCGAGGACTTGACTGAAGGCAAGTTTTCGTTCCCAATCGTTCACGCGATACACACCCACCCCAAGGACTCAACCATCATGAGTAAGACATTTATTTGCCATTTCATTGTCATTAAGTCAACAGATTATCAGTTATATTATAATTATAATCATAAGTTACAACCGTTTCTTATCATACAATTGAGTCATTCATTGACTCAATTCAATGACACACTAATACTTTAAAGTATTTGTACACTATTTGTAACGATAATGTACTAAAACCGGTGCTATTATATAATATAAATAAACACACATTTATATATTTTCACACATTTATGTAACGAATGGCAGATATCTTACGCCAGCGAACGAAAAACGTTGAGCTGAAGAAATACGCGGTCCAGAAGTTGGATTCGTTTGGATCTTTCGATTACACGTTGAAAACGTTGGAAGAGATCGGAGCGAAGACTCGCCTGGAATTGGAATCGCTTGGAGGGAATCCACATCTTTCACAACTCTTAGACTATCTTAAAATCATTTGATTCGCACATCCAATACATTGAATACTGTTTTTTTATTATTAAATTATTTTTTGGACAAATATTTTTTATACATTTAATTCGAGATGTGTTTTAATAAATTTGTTTTGTGATTGACATCAAAGAAATAA